AAGCATCAAAGGTCTGGTACCAATTTACACGGAGAAGATGGTCGCAGATAATAATATTGTGATTCGACTTCGCAAAATCTATGAAAAATTTCTGAGACTGTTTTGGTCTACTAAAGGACAGTGAAAAGGTAACTGTGGCATGATCGGAAGTTGAAAAAGGTGCTTCAATAGAGACATCTCTCACGAGTGTGGGGCTGTTAGACAGAATTATATCTAGAAAATTGCAACCGTGCGTAGGTTGTAACACTAGCTGTACGAAACCATTAGCGCGAGCAAAATCAGCAAACAAAGAACTCTGATTTCTCGAGCTCGAACCCGTTCCTGTAGTTTGAGATTGATGGGACCATGTGAGCTCATAAAAGTTGAAATCACCAAGAATTATAAGCGGCAAGCGATTTTCACTGAGTTCTTCAAGATAGAGGAGAAATTCTTCAAAGGAGGTAACTGGGCAAGATGGACTACGGTAGCACAGCACGATGCAAGCTGTAGTATTGGACAATGTGATTTGTATGGAAATGCACTGTAAATAAATGGAAAAATTACGAGACGATGTGAGAGAAGTAGAAATAGTATTCCTAATTATAATCATCACTCCACCCCCGGGTGTATCTCCTTCTCTATCGCATCGATAAACTAGGTAAGGAAAGCCGGCAACAAGTGTACTGTCATTAATCTTATGGGGTTTGCACCAAGTCTGTAATAAACAAACCATAGGGACTGCATGTGAGTAAATGATGGAGATCAGGTAGCTTATTGTTTACGGATCCGGCGTTAAGGAGGACAAATCTGTTAAAAACAAGCAGTACTAGACGACGGAACTGTGGCCCGAGACGCATCCATGTCCTGCGAAGAAAGCGAGAAAGGACGGCTCACTGATGCATGAGGCTCAACAGAAGTGTGATGCGGAAGTTCTCTAGGGCTCCGAAGCTTATGTGTTTCCATTGACCAGCTTGTTTTCTCAAGGAGCGATCCAATTCCAGTTCCTCAGCAGTATAGTCGCGCCGCGCATAGGAATGAACGAACTGTTTCGTCAAACTCTGCCTGACTGTAAAAGCCTATCCTTAAGTTCCTGCGAGGGCAAACTGATTTTAATAATCCTTCCACGGCTATTGATCCCTCTAGGTTGACCTGCCGGATGACGAAGAGCCGTAATATTTCCCTTTGAAAACTCCTCCATCAGCTCAGCATCGCCAGAGGTCTCGATCACCTCTTTCAGGGCCTCCTTGTCAAACTTCTTTGTGGCGAGATCATCCTTCTGCTCGCCAAGTCCTACCCATGCTATCCTCCTCAGCTTGTCATCGATCTTCTTCTCGTCCGCCTTGACTTTAACTATTGTTGAATATAGCGCATTTTGATTTACGTCTCGCTTAACGATGTTCAAAACGCTGTTTTCGAGAGCTGAAATACGGGCCAGTATCTCCTCCTGCCGCATGTTCTTCAATCTTACTGACCATCTTGTCAAACGATGTCAAAAGCGCTTTTTCCAATCGTTCAGCGCAAGCATCGTACCTCTCCATCATTCTCATAGCCCATAAAGGTATTTCCTGCTCACCTCTTTCGTCTGATTGGTTCTTTCTTGCACCACGAGCCATAATAGTGTGATTGAATAGAGTCGGTGCTCCAGAAACCAGAGAATACGAGAAAAAAGTAGAATTGTACACCTGAGGAAATACACGCAGCCGCTCACGACCAACGTACGATGAGGAATGATCCTAGCAGCCTTTCCCGAGCGGTCCTACTCAACGCTAACGTATTGCGGGCTAACTC